ACATTTTGTGAGACAATTCAGATTGGCACTGAGGAACCCTAGAATGACTCCAAGCTGAGACCCCCTACTGAGAAATAAAGAGTACTATCCCAATGCAACATGGTTGTACAGTTCCAACATCTCCTCTGCAGCTGTGGGATGACCAAACTTACTCCCAGACAAACTCTACGAATATTTATGAAAACCTCTTAGCATTCTGGATGCACTAAAATGTACATCTGAAGTTGCTCAGTTCAGTGCAGTTCACTCAAGAACTTTTCTCTGAACTCTTTCACTGTGTAGAGTATTTCTGTAACTTCTGACTAAACGGAGATTGTTCCTGGGTAGGATTTAAATCATGTATGAGGAATACTGTTTATGGAAAGCAGTGGTTTGCTTTACTTTTGTTTTGGAAGTTGCCACTGTGCAGGCAGAAAGCAATAAGCAGTGGCTTGCAGCTAAAAAGAAACAATAATGGAGTTAAAAACATCTGTCTGGGCTGTACACAGCTAAAAATCTGTCTGATACAACAGAAGATGCCCAGGATTTTCAAATGACATGAAGATATGAGGGATCACAATCATAACAGCAAGCAGGATTAAGATTCAAAAGCGTCTTGACAAGTTAAAGTAATGGTGTGTCAAAAGGGAAAGAGCAATGTTGTAGTGTTAAGCCGAAATAATTAAACAAGGAAAGAAAAGAGCTGGCAAGATGAAAATGATCTGTGACTTAGAGAACATCACAGGTAGATCTTAAATAAACAACGTTCTGCTTCTGAGGAAATGGCAAACATAGAGACAGGTAGGAACAGAAGTGTCATCTTTGAGTAAATATAGTGTTAATAAGGCTCCTTAAAAGGACTATTGTATTCAATTCTTCTTTGAAACTGGACTCAAGAGATGTATGGATAGCAATGAACACAACCAACATTCTGTAAATAATGGAAAGAACTGAGTTTGTTTAACCTAGAAAGGGCTGAGGGGGTCCTCATTATTATACTATTAATTATATTATTTATCATATAAATGTTATAATTATATAAATTATAATTGCATAGTTATATAAATTATATAATTGTATAAAATTATATTATTAATCTTCAATGCTTCAAAGGCTGCTGCAACACAGGAAATAATAGCTTGGTCTCTATCAGTTTGAAGGCAGAGAGCAGTGGGTATAAAGGCCTACTAAGCCTTTTTAAAAAAAAGAACTTTTGACCACTAAGGATAGTGAGATCCTAGCTAGAGGTTGTGGAACTTCTGGGAACGGGAGATTTTAAGAAAAAGACTTGAGAATCAGGAAGTGGGTGGGATCCATCCTGCTTCGGGGCTAAAGATGACTTAATATTCACTATTTTGAATATTAATTTGTAACCAAAAGAACTTCAGATTTTTCATACAAATTACTAGATGTTAATAAGAGAATCAACACCTCTGGTAAACTGCAGAAGCTCATGTATATGATCACTAACTGACTGGAATCAGAAACTCTTGAAATACAAACATCTCTGCTTTACTTGAAACAACCCAGTAAAGTCTTTCATTACATTGGTTAATGAGGAACATTAAACTACCCCATTTTTCTTGTTTCAAGTCTTTGATTCAGTGCCTGACAAAGGGAATTGTGTTTGGTACCATATGTTTGCAGATTTTTTTTGTTTTCCTTTGAAATGATCCTGTTTACATAGATAGCATTGTTCCAATGGCTTACTTTCTTCCTGAAGGGTGGAAAAATAAGAAAATTACCTTTTTATTACTCATAAGGGGCAGATTTACTGCATTGTGTAATGGGCAGAAATAATTAATATACCAACATCGATGGTAGGTTTTGTAAATTATGCAAGTGAGTTATGTAGCATTACAAGAACATTGTGTAACACAGACCTCAACAGAGAAAAATTAGTTTTTGATGCCAAAAAGCTACAAACACTTGACATATAAAAGAGGAAATATTTTATTTTAGGAACAGCTGACACTAAAATATGGAAAATAAAGAACTACCACCAAAAGTATCAGCAAAAGGGAGTTTATTGAAATATATTGTAAAAGTTGCATTTTTAACAACAAAATTCAGTGGCAAGGTTCACTGTACTACTGCACAAAGGATATAGCAATGATTCAAAGCTGCCAATACAAAAATCAAAGCTACCAATACAAAACTTTATGTGCACTATAATACCAGATTATGCATGGTATCTTTCAGCTAATGAGGATCTGCTTTTGGTGGGAGGTCTCTCTGCTTTGAAGAGCAACCTCAAGAGATACCCTTGCTCAAAGGGAGATCCCCCTAAGCAGCAACCAGCTGCTTAGCAGAGACATCTTGAAAAATGCTTCTTTAGGCTGACATTTCTGAAATAAAGTGGTTGGCTTGCAGTCAAACCACATACAATGGGAAGGGTATGCATGAGATTCCTTGCACCCACAAATTTCTTTGTTCTTTGATAAATGAGTCCTAGAAAAGCTACCTACTATTCATGTGCTATTTACATGATCAGTGACCCAAGTTCATATGCATCAATGCTTACCTCTGTCACTCTGTTCCCCTGTGTATTTTTATAGAACAGACTGGAACTACAGAAGTTTTTCTGCTGGTTATGCCCTAGGTTGTTCCGAGCCTGTAAAAGCTACCCCTAGTTTGGTTAAGGATTTGAATGCATTTGTCACTTGGTCAGTTTGTTCAGGTATTTTAGCCAGGCACAGAGACTCAGCAAAAAGAATACACATAATTGAAAATAAAGTAGTTAGTTATTGGCTAACAGAGAGGAGCTAGCTAGAGTTTAATGAGCTGCTAGACCAAGCATTATTATGCTTGCCACTCATGTTAAGCTACTCGAGAAGTCTTTGCTGAGGAGGCAGGCATGAGTCAAAAGGGTAAGGGTCACTTCCCACAGTTCTCTGGAGAGGAATCCCAACGTTTCTAACTTGCAGTCTTACATCAACACTTAAAACACAACACAAGGGCTCAGCTCATCCCCAGCTAGACTGTCAAGCTTGACCAGGCTCCCCCAGGTTATCTTTACCTTTATGACACCTTTTCATGCTGGCACTTTCCCTCTGAAATCCTTGAACATCAACAATGTCATGTCCACAGCTCTACTTTCAAAACTCTCTACAGATGGCAGATTTTCACAGCAGTCTGGATCAAGGTCCTGCAGGTGTTGGGTCAGAGATGGGTTTTGTGTACATAAATACACAGGCAACAAAATACCCAGAAAAGTGGGGTGAAACTCAGAGCTCTTCTTATGACACAGAGGGTGCCAGGTTGGATTGGATGCCCTTCAGGTCTTTCCCAACTACACTGCTATAACCTGGTGTATATAGAGAAATTTGGTACCTGATTTGGGATTTTAAATTCTCTAATTCTAAACTTGACACATCGAGCTTCCAGGCTGTTTTGTGGATTTACCTTTGCTCTTCTTTTTGTATTTCAGTTTTTCCAGCTCAAGTATCATGAATGTGACAACTTGCTTTTTGAAATACTTTCTGACCAGGCATGAAATTCCTTATAGAAATTATTCAATAACTCTTTAGGGGTCTTTTTGGTTCTAATTAGTACCTTGAACATAATTTCTAAATAGCCGTGAATTCATATGTTCATAAGCAAACATTCAAAGGATAAGTTAATACATGTTCATTCTGGAACTTATGGACCATGTGAATTAGTAAAAGTAACATCAGAGACTGTTGCTGCTACCCAAACAAAGAGGCAATAGAGAGCCACAGCAGGATTGAAATGATCCAGAAAATTTTAAATATATTGATAGATTTTAAAAGGTATCTCCACTATTAAAATAATAAATATTTTCAAACACAGATATGCTCAAAGAATGCTCAAAGCACAAAAATGAGCTATTATCTTTAATATAGTATGTGCTAAGGTCTTCTACCCCAATTATTATGTATCGCATAAAATTCAAAATCTACTTTCAAATATGCAATTGATAAATTTCCAGAAAGCTTTACTAATTATATTGTCTGGAAACATTAGAAGAAATAATTTACTAGCATATTACAGAGACTTGTTAACAAACATAAGAAAAAAAAGAAAAGCTAAAATTTTGACATCTGACTGTAGACATCTGTGATTTGCATTTTCAGTAAAACTTAACAGTTAGATGACCTTTCATGTGTGGACTGCTCTGAATTCTGAAACAACAGTAAATGTCCAGCTGTGGTGCCTCCAGACCACATGCAGGCAATGAAAAATGAGTGACCGTCTGTGAAAAGTTCCATTTACATGACTCACAAAACATGCACAGGAACTCTGTGGAAGAAATAGATGCAATTATTCAGAACACAGTTCTGAAGAATAAAACTATCCTTTGACTAGAAATCATTTGCTTGACAAAACAGCAAAAGCATCGTAAGAAAATGGAACGCCTGACTAAGGAACAGGATGTAACTTGGCAGAGGGAAGTATGAGACATCTCTGAAATAAAATGAGGCAAGGAACAACTGGCTAGATAGCAGTTCAGAAGAGAAGGATCAAGGTGCTGAAGTAAAGCACAAGAATGTTGGCAACGCTATACTAGTACAAAAAAATGGCAAACTATATATCATAAGGTTTAAAAATAAGATAGCCTATAAGGCTGAAAACTACAGATCACATCCCTCTGATGAAAAACAACTAAGCTTCAAGAATTTAAGACAGTCCAGAAGAAAGCAAGGAAAAGCTTCTTAATAGGTATATTATGTTTAACCTAAAAATAAAAAAGAGGAGAAAAGAAAAAAAAAAAAAAAAAAGAGACAGAAGACCTTTTTTATGTAGAAGTGCTACAAACTGGAAAAACCTTTATCATGAATGTCCTGGAAGGGATGAGCAACAAATTTAAACAAAACTTTCTCATGGCTACATCAGAAAGAAAAGTCATACAGAATTGCATTTTGGCAATCTGTACCTCTCTGACTGAGGCCTGTCATATGGGGACCCACAACAGAAACATGGTCAACTCCTGGTCCCCCTTTGTGTTTTATGTAATTTTTTCGGGAGTGTTGAGTTTGCTTTGTGAGCCGTAGCCTTACTTGACGGTGTTTCTGTGAGGGATTTCCTCAGACAGCTGCCTGCGGTAATGTCGCACTGCGCTGGTTAGGGCCGGGCCCCGAGCCCCGCCGCGGGCACGTCCTCACCCCGTCCGCCTTGGCGGCCAGAGCGACCGGCCCTGCTCCCGGAGACACAGGCTCCCTGGGACCGCGGCGCCACAGAGGAAGGCGGCTCGAGGACATCACTCCTGCCCGCTGGGGACTGAGTACGCAGGAACGTGTCCATTCTCTGTCCCTCACGGTCCTCTCGGGCTGCCGCTGCCCGTCCGCCTGTCCCTGCTCGGCCCACTCCGGACCCTGCAGCCCTGAGGCGGCTCGAGGAGGGGGCGGCCCGCGTTCTGCCCTTGCCACCGCAGCCAAGGGAACGGGCCGCGCTTCCCGGAGCCGGGGAGAAAGTCCCGAGAAGAGGCTCACCCTCCTCCTCGAGGCGGGAGGAGGCACCGCCCTGC